TTTCTTCTTCTTTTTCTTTTCTTTAGGAATAAAATCCTATTTCAATTTATTCTAATTTTGATCATAATTCTTGTCTAAACCAAATAAACAGATTATGGGAATAAATCATTCTGATTTTGATTCTGATTCCAAAAGATTTGATTTTAACTGCAAACCAAACAGATGTGAACTCCTCAAATTAAAAGTTTGAAATTGGGTTGATTATAAGTCGAATCAGGAGCGGAGTTAAGTATAATGACGGGCCCTTGGCCCCCCCTAAACTTTTATAGGCTCAATTTGGAAAGAATACAAATACAAATATATACTGTCCAAATACATACAAAATATTAGGTTTTGCATTCTACATATTTATATTTGTACTCTTTCCAAACTGAGCAATAGTTACTAGTAAAGTTAAGGTAAAAAAATGTAATAAAGTGGATCCTTTGCCCCCCAAAACTTGAACTAAAATATTAAAGGATCATTCTTTAATGTTTTAAAAATTTTGTATATTTTTCTTTGAAAAAAATCTATAATAGACCCAAACCTTTCCATCTCATTTCCCTATACAGCCCCCCAAGAGAAAATTTCTAACTCTACCACTGAATCAAATCTTTTCGTTTAATTATTTTTAAGATAGTCAATCAGGTATTATTTATCAAAATTCATAAGTGAATTTTGATTGGTCAAAACTCTTTCCATACCATGTCTTTCCCACATATAGACTTTCCCTTATTTTTATCCATAAAAGACAAGATAATAACGTACTTCAGTGTTATCAAATGAATTCACATCAGACCCCCACAAGGAGGCACCCCATAACATCCCACAGCCGTATATTAGGAACTTCTCCCAATGATGGTACATGAAATGATGAGCCATCACTGGAAGATATTCCCAATACACGGCCGAAATATGTTGTGGGACGTTGTGGGGCGCTCCTTGTGTTGGGGCTGATTTGAACTCTTATCAAACGGCCCCTTAAACTTGGGTTAGGACTTAAGAAGAGAACAGCCATAATCAGAGTGAATGGCATGTTAGAGGGTTTTTGTTGTAGAAATTGAGTTAAAATTTGCTATCAATTAACGCTAGCAACACTGTCCCAACAAGTCATTACATTCTTGCAAGGGCCAGGTCATTCATTCTGCCACCAGTCAAAGCAGGAAATCAATTGCTTGCGTGTTTTCTCTTTGTCTCAATTAATGCACAAAATGCAATAAAACGCTTTCAATCTTTTCATTACTTCTCATCTACATCTGTCCTTGTCCTCGCAAGTATTAATGAAAACTTAAACATATTTTTTAGGTTGACTGCAGTCTACTTATCCCAAACTGGACCCATATCAGTTATCACAGATTTATTGTGCGTAATATGATTCATGCACCTGTGGTCCATGGTCTACAAATGGGAGATCACATCTCCGCCCTACAAGGAGCCGCTCCACAGCACATCCCCAGGAACATTTTTCAATGTTCCCAATGAACATCATCGGGAGATGTTTCTAATACACAGCGGGGATGTGCTGTAGGGCATTGTGGGGTGGCCCCTCGTGGGGCGGAGATGTGAACTCCTAAAATGGATCATGCTTGTCACTGATTTACAGTGGACCCATTCAACCATCCTAATTCTTTTTATTTTCAAATCGGTGATTACAGAAGTCGATTCCACATCAATGCTGAAACGAACCAGCTAATATACCAATTAACCACCCTTCACTTAATTATGAGAGTAACTTAACATCTAAGAGATTATTAGTCTGCTTTTAAATGGTTCAGGTTGATGAGCCGGTAGGCCATTTGGATGTTGAAGGATAGGATTCATTGAAGACAATTAGGTTCATACCCATAATATATTTTCCCATTTCAATTTTTTCATTAGTCATGTAGACTAAGATCAAATCCTATTGACACTAGACAATGAGAGAGAGAGATGGTTTGCTGGATTTCAAACTGAGTGCCATGAGAGCAATTCAGACCTATAGCTCATAAGTCACAACTGTTTGAAGTTTGGCTAGTGTTTGGTGGGTTAAGAGTTATCCCACAACTCTTAACCACGATAAACATATCATACCTACCTTTCTTCCCTCAGAGCTCTTTATGGTTAAACAAAATCAATTACCTGAAAAGTATTATCTTTCCTTCCGATGTTTGATGTAAAATGGCTGTGGAAAGTATGTCATTTTCCTACAATTACCACCTAAGTTATTTCCCAAACAAAGCTTGGTACTGTCTATTCATATATTGTAAACTTGTACTAATCACTTCTAACTATTTAAGCTCTCCCCCTCCGAATTGAGTGAAACAGCCGGAAAATCAAAGAACATAATCCATTGTCCTATTGAATATAATTTTCCAAGGAAATCATGTTTTTGTCCCTTCTACACGCAACCTAAAAGCAGCTGGGGTCTCAACTCTCAACCAACAAAAATAAATATGATTGGATGACTTCAACCATTGTCACCCTATTTCATTAAATGGTGGAAACTTAATATCATTCTCAGACATTATAGAAAGAAGTAAGCGGATCACATAGAGGATGTTAGTTCCGTTGGTATTTATTGAAAAAACGCCACTACATCAGCGCCATATGGGCGATTGTGTTTATTGTATCTGAAACTAGTGTTTGATTTCACCATTTATCAAATAAACATTGAAAATTGAAATGCTTGATTTTTTGTATATGGAGCATTTGGGAAAACGTTAAATTTTCGTTTCTCCTAATGCCCCAATATTTCTTGAAACAAAATGCTGATGTGACATATTTTTATGAGTGTTAATCTGAGTTGGAAAGTAATAAATATTTAAAGTAAGATAATACATATAAACGTTTAAAGTAATAAATGGCCTTTATATAAACTCCAACAGAACCAAACATATACATAGTCAAAATCTAGGCAGAACAGTCATTGTTTTACTTTTATTCAGTGTTTTTTGAATTGCTATTGATTTGGACAGTTGGAGTGTTCAGCCTAGGAACCGTCTAAGCAATTGGTTCCATTTCACCCTCAACCTGGTTTTTGACAAAAAAACTGTTGATTTGGTTAGAGATCTAGTGATTCAACCTGTTAAACAGTTTTTAGCCTTTTTATTTTTATTTTAATTATTTTTAAAATTTTTTCATTTGGAACGAGCTGTCTATTCAAACTAGGTGATTGAACCATCATCCCAGAAACTGGTGGCCAAAAAGATTTTAGTTCCGAAAGGTTTTTAAAGCCTTGGTTTTATAAACAGTAGTGTTGAAGTTGAATACAATAAAACTGCCGACACACAAAGATTCATTGTTTGGGTTCAAGCTGTAACTTTATGTAACTTTCCTACATAATTTCAGGTAGCACATTTCCCTCACTTTTCCATTCTGCATGTCTATTCTTCTTTTCTTTGGAAAGTTCTTTATTCTACATCTCACATCGCCTTTTCAGAGTCAGGACAGTCTGGTCATGTTTTATTGATGCAGTCAACCACTGTCGACCTTATCGACTCACATATAATGATATAAGCATGTCAAAACTCTGCATTTATTAATCTTTAAGGATTGACGTCTAAAAATTGTCCTCAGCACTCAGCACAATGCACGGTCTGATTCTCACTTCTCTTCGGTTCTGTAAACCAAATCCAATGAGGTGGGATCTCCCTAAAGCATAACTTCTGTGCAAGGTCTAACTAGACGTTTTACCCATGAATTTAATTAACATACATTTATGGAAAATATTCCTCGTGAGCATCTGGATGCTATGTGTGCAGAGTTTTTATTTTTAGAAGATTTAGATTAAAATCAAGGCTTTAAAACTGGAGCCAATACAACCATTTTGGCCACCATTTTTTGGGTCAAACGGTCTGACCATCCGGTTCAAATGGACAGCCTATTTTGATTTAAAAAAAACATTAAAATTAAAATAAAATAAGGCAAAAAACCACTGTCTGGATCAATAGGTCGATGGTTTGACCACCTATATCAACATGTCACTAACCAAGTCAACAGTTTTTAGCCCAAGAACAATTTTAAGGTAAAATGGAACAGGTTACCTAGATGGCTCCTGGGTCAACTGGTCCGACCATCCGATCCAGTTTTCAAAACCATGGCTAAAATACAATGTGTCAGGGAACAGCTGGAGTATGGAAGAATTATCCAATTCGAGGGGTCATTTGTAAGAAAATCAAACCGATAATAACCTGGAGGAAATGTGTACAACTCTATTCCCACCACAACTCAAGTGAATCGGAGATCCAAGAATCAATTGCAAATTCTCCTACTTAAAATCTCATCACTAGATATGGATAAACCACTTAATGGATCAAGTCTTCGATGTTCAGTAACAGGGAAAAGTTTCAGAATCAGAAAACACAGCATGCAAATCTGTTCTGCTCAATCTATCGACTTGCTTAGAGAACATCAACAACTTCGTCAGACTAAATAAATTGTTTACTCTGTGAAGATCAAAGATGGTAAGAAGGGATTTGTAATTTCAGATACAAAATGACTTTGCATTGTGTACTCCCACTGAGCCAGAGGAGGTATTTGGGGGAGATTGTGGAGTCTAACCCAGGGGTTTAGTGGAGGAATTGGATGAAGAATTGCTATACTGTTATTACCTAATGTTGGTCCCAGCTATATGGGGTCTTGGGAGGGGTAGACCAATGCGGACCTAATCTTTGGCAATTTTTACACACTGGCTGCTCTGAAATGCAAATCCACATTGTCACACTTGTAACCCTGAGATTTTCCATTGACCAAGCAATGGCCCCTATTTTGGTTAAAGAAGATAAACCTAATTATCAACAAAGAGCTGATTTTATAATCACGGTCTTAGTTCATCATGACATTAAAATCAGGTGGGATTTTAAGGTACTTGAAAACTTGGTACGGCTTCTGGTGAAATTGTGTTTTGTAGGTAAGATCCCATATTTAAGAAATATGTGCTTGAAGATCATAAAAGTCTGCAGGATGATGTCACTTGGCCTTGTTAATCTACATGGTTTTTTGGAAAATTTGAAGTAAACCTTGATTGAGTATTTGAAAATAGCTATTGAATGGCATGAATATCTCGAGTCATGGTGTTCTCAGTGATCATTCCCAACTTATGGGAGTCTGCATGCCTAGAGAATAAAATAGCAGTTTAACCCAACCAAAGGAATATGGAAACAAAGTAAATGAGGCATGGAAACAACAATGATTTTAAATGTAATTTATTTACAACACAGCTAAACTATTTTTTGTTTTATCTGAAAACAATGAAGCTTTACTCAAGATACAGTATGCAAATTTCTTATGATTTTGAGTGGTAATATTTGTCAAGCAGCTTCTCAGAGTACTCTCCAAAAGTAAGAACTCCATTTGGCGGGATTAGCTGTAAAACAATACGGATAACAGCTTCAATTGGATATCATAATCATCACACATTACCTTCGTAAAGAAACAGAAATAGAGACCCTAAGACAAATCTAGAGTTGGTTTCAAGTATTCTATCCATGTTTTGCAGACTTTAACAACTCAAAAACTACACAGTACTATGTTGATTGCCAAATTGAAAATCCTTTCGTTGTATTTTGCATTTTTCATGTCAGAATAATGCAACAATGTCATCAATTTGTTCTCTAGGAACCTATAAGATCCACTAAGGCTTACACTAACTGCCAATGTTTAACGCTCATACATACATAATATATATATATATATATATATTATATCTGTGTGTGTTTTGGTTTTAGGATGTGTACTGAACATAATTTATAAGCTCTGCAGCAGTTCACTTTCTCGCACTACTGTTACTAAACCCAGATAAAGGCTTGTATCAGCTAACAGTCAACATATAAATTTTGCCAAATCCTTTAGAAAAAGAACCCCAAATTGTTTCAATGGAAAAACAGGATTCATGGCTGACTCCAAATAGTTGGGATAGGACTTTGTTTCAGAGACTGGATATAATTGAAAATACATTCTATCCAGATTTGCACAGTCCTAAAGCCATTGGTTAGTTGTCTTGCATGGGTGCTTTGAGTGCTCTATCTACCTAGGTTCATCTAGATATTTTACAATACAGAATGAAAAGATTTGAGGATTCAGTAAAATATACCTCTTGATGAAGATGGACCTCTTTAGGAAAATTAAGACTTTCATCCCTGCAAAAGAAGAGTTTCAAAGTGATTACAAATAAATTAAGAATCAATAATTACTAAAACTAAATATTTCAAACTTCGCAGGGAGACAAATAAGTAATTCCATAGATATCGCACTATGTCAGGTAGAGAATCTAACTGCATAAATACTGCCCAACTGTTTGAATTACAAAAATGAAAACATGATTCTTAAAACAGTTTCTGTGTTTCAACAGTCCCATAGAATTTGGATCTGATGTGCTATAGAAATTTAAACTCTTCATCTTTGTGAAAGTTTTTCTACAAATGAAGCTTTACTGAAAAACTTCAGAAAAGTAGAGTAGAAACACACAAATAAAAAATCATGGATAAATGGCTACTCAAAATGTGGGAAACTTGATGAAAAACTGAGTCTTGTTAAACCAACTTTATTTAGAAAACTTTATTCACCTAAAAAATCAAGAGTGACCAAGAGCCAACAAACCCCATGAATGAAAAGTGCATAAATAGCCCAGGATTCCATGCTGCAGTTTCTGTAAAATGAACTTGCCAACACTTTAGTAATAACAACTCTTTATGGGATTCCAAAGATGTCTTTGGCACATTTTTTCCTCTATTGGTTTTGTTATCCACAAAAACCAGGGGATCCATATGTAGATACAGATAAGACGGTTAATTAGAATTCACATAAAACATAGTATTGAGCTTTTGGGCCAGTGGAACATCTTTCTATTTTGAACAACCACTCCGAATTCAACCTAAGCAAAACCCTACAAAATTTCTCACTGTGTATTTCAAGGATGAACGGTCCTTACATGTTACTGAATTGTATGTCCAAATAATGTTTTGTAGCCTAACTGATGTAGTTCTGCCTTTTATAGCAATAGAGGATATAACAAATCAATTACTGGAGAAATTTGGACATTCCAAAATTACTAAAACATATGGAAGAATAAATAATTGCACCAAGTAAAAGCTTCTAGATTATGTTGGGACCCAAACACTCCCTCCGAACCCAACTATGGGAGTGGAGCAGACCACCACCCATCAGCATTTCACAAGGAGACAGAAAGGACACTCGGCAGAGCCCCCACAGTTAGTTACACTCAGAACCTTCCAGAGTTAGTTACTCTGCAACCAGAGGATATTCTCTCCATGATACCTTCCAGAGTTAGTTACTCTGCAACCAGAGGATATTCTCTCCATGATTGCACACCTGTAGGCAGCTATATAAGGCCATAATCATATAATAAACGGGGTGAATGAATATCTCTTTATTTCTCTCTCTGAGTCCATCTTCTTCCTACCTCCCCTTCTCTTCTCTCCCTTCATCTTCTGTTTCAGGAGGCTAAGCCACCCTCGAAGGGGCTTCCGAGGTGAGCGGTAACTCATCAAATTAATAGTTTTCTAATTTTATGTTTTAAACTAGATATTATTTTCTTTAAGGAGTATCTATTTTTCAGAAGATCTAATAATTAGTAGTTTCCTATTATTTTCAGGAAACTGTTAATTTGAGTTAGGGGTGGATTCGAGCCGAGCCGAGCCGAGCTGAATAGTACCAGGCTTGAGCTCGGCTCGAGACTGTTCTACAAGGTTCGAGCTCAGTTCGAGCCAGAACCTCGAGCTCGAGCTCGGCTCGGCTCAAGCTCGATTTTGAGAAAAAAAAATATTTTATAAAATAAAAAATTATATATAAAAATATTTTTATTTGATATTTAAAAAATTAATAATTATAATATTTTTATTATATATATATATTCGAGTCGGCTCGCGAGCCTCACGAGCCGAGCTCTAGTATGCTCGAGCTTGGCTCGTTTAATAATCAAGCCAATGAAGTGGGCTCGAGCTCGGTTGAAACCAAGCCTAGCCAAGCTCGAGCAGCTCGTGAAAAGCTCAGCTCGTTGCCACCCCTAGTTTGAGTCAAACTACTTTTTGCTGAATTTCTATTTTCTGGGTTTCTATTTTTAGGAGTTCCTAAGATTCTAACTAAGAGTCAGATGCAGTTATTTCAGTCAAAGCTTTGAAAAGTTCTATATATACATGTAAACCTGTCCTGAATGGCAAGATTGGATGAGTTAATATTTTTTCCTTCTCTGTAACTGCTCATTTTTTCTTCTCTTGAAATCAGTATTGGAGAAATACATGATTTACTTGTTCTCTGTTTTTTTTCCTGGTAGTTCTTTGATGCTAGAAGAAAACAAACAACTATTCTCTTGATGTCCCCATAGATTTAGAGCACATTTTGCTGGATTTTGAACCAATGCTACCCATCAACCTTGTCTTCTATAAACCAACCATACATTACTAACCCAAAATTTATATTCTTTAATCTTTTAGAAAACATAACCCATACCGTTTCTAAGGACCTACATAATGCTCAGAAGATTCACAACAAGCAGAAATATAAAATAAATTAAACCATATAGTGAATTCTAAGAAACAATAATTTCTTTCTTCATCCTTCACCCAAACCCTTAGGGGCTGTTTGATAACATATGAAGTGACAGGACTGAATAACTTGCTGATTTGACATTTAGTCAATGAATTTTTGAGGTTGTGAGCTCTTTATTGGCTGAAGCTGAAGTTTGGTTGATCACTATACCCTTGAATAATTTGTTATTTGAAAATCTATCCGCTAAAAGACAAAGCAATTATTCACTTTTTTATGAATGAAGAAATTTATTCATTAATCACATAATATAAGAGTTACAACCATCCCAAGAAGAGGCACTTATTCACTTCAGCCACTTCAGTCATTATCAAATGTCCCCTTTGCATGAAAGGAGTGCATGCTCTCTTAATAACCTCTTTTATGTGCTAGATGCAGCTTAAGATGTTGACAAATGAGATCATTGGCCAACATGTCTTAACTTTTGACCCTACAAATAGATACACAAAATATAGTACAAAGAAACAAGGTTTCATAAGAGATATTAACACTTACATTGATGCTGAGTCCGGTTGGACATGTCAATTGAAAATTGAAATCGTTACCGTCTTTAATAAAATAACAGGTTGTTGATTATTGAAGCTGCACATGTTCTAACTTCTAAAAAAGAACCCCAAAGCTTGTTTTCTTTATCTAAAATTTTTTTACTTTTAAGTTTTAAATATAATGTCCAGAAACAAACAGAATATTTGAATTTGTGAAACAGAGGATATTGGATGGGACATGTAGTTCATGATATGAAGCTTTTGAAAATTTAAGGCATGTCTTCAATCTCCATAATGGTTACCATATAACCATCAAACATACCAGTCAGGTTGCATGAATAATGCAAAGGTAGATCGTTCCACACCATAAGTCTGCTCTCCTTTAGGTGCCTAACCATCAAACAAAATGAAATTAGGATGGATTTTACTGTACAATGTTTTCCATAAATACTGTGAAGAGGTTAGAAAAAAAACTGGAATTAACCCCTCCAGGATGGATTTTCCTTTTTATTTGATGGGTATGCACTAATCAAACAACAAACCAGGAGCACCTCTCCAATTCATCCACATTCTAATTCTATGGAAAGTATCCTCTTCAATATTTTGCTTGGTATGGACTATTTAATCAAGGTAGTGAAAATGGAGCTTCGACATTAATTAAGCAGGGAAATAATTTGATAGAATAGCTGATTGAATTAAAAAGGAAATTCACATAACTACATTGAGATACACATAATTTTTCATAATTACAAATAAAAAATGCAATGGAGGAAACAGAACGCATGCTAATTTTTCCAATGACAACACTGAAAGTATTGACAATTGATAATGAAATAAATGAAAGTGGAGGAGAACAAACAAATTGATAATTTTTCCATGTCTTTCTATATTTTTAGATAGTAGTACTCTTTTGCCTCTTCTCTCTAGTATATTTCTTGAATTCTTTTCCCTTCCCTTTTCTGTTAATACACATTCAGTTGCCTATTAAAGACAAAATGAAAAAAAAAAAAAAACAAGACATGGAATACCTGAACACAATGTGGTGTTGCACAAAGACGACCTCCTGAGAGTATTTCAGTAGTTTCTCCTACTTGGAATGCTATTTCATCTTCTTGAAAAACAACCTGATGAACCACATGAAGAGTATCAGTTAATATATTGAACAGTTTCAACATTTTTATATTTAAGGGTCTTGAAGCATCATAGTACTCTAGCCATCCGGAACTAGTTATATCATTTGAATCTACAGAATAGCATCCAAAATAATCTAAAAGTTATTACCAAAGGTAAAAGGAGGTGCCTGAAAGAATGTTTAATTAAGCATCCTCAGTTACCACCCAAAGGCTAGAAGCAGAATCTTCCAGGTCATTGAAAAGATTATACAGAAACTTAATGAAAAGAGTGCAGTAGACCTAGCAAAAATTCCTTTAGTTCACTTCTCCTGTTTTCAATCTTGATATTTTTGTTACCTTTTCTGTATTATTATTGTATTTATGATCGGTATAGAAATCATGAAGCAGGCTGCCCAAAGAGCAACAATAAACTACATTTCATATCACAACTGCACTTGATTTGAGATGATGGCATAAGATGAAAGAAGAAAGGGAAGAATGAGACAAATAGACAAGAGGGACAAGAAAGAGTTTCACCCACCCAAGCCATAACCTTCAGTTGCAAGTCTTACCAATCAGTGGAGAAATGATGATGATGATGATGATGTCTGTTTCACTCGTTCTTCCATTATTTTTGCCCCTTATTTTGGGATGACTAACAAAAAAAATTATTAAAAGGAAAGGACAGAAATGAAGGTATGCAAGCTGTATACAGATGCAAGGGTAGATGGGATGAACTTTTACTACAAAGAGTTTCATGTCGAGGAGCAAATAAAGCTGTTGTGAAGGTTCAATTTCTTTTCCTTAATTTGGAAAAGAGAGTCCAGAACCATTCAGAGAGGGACATAGGATCCCTCTTTGGAAAAGTAATCGTGACATAAAGAAAGTGATCTCCAAACAGAAGATTTTTCATGAAAAAAAAAGGAAAAAGAAATTTGAAAAATGACAAAAATATCTTGGATCTTATTGAAGGTGCCTGTGCCTTATTTGTGAAATCAACATAGTGGCCTTGGATATGACCTTTGGACTTACAAAAACCTGATAAGGTCCAATATGCCACATCAAATTAATTCATATATAAACTTCTAATGTTCAAATAATGAAAACCAGTTTTATTTGTTCTATCAAAAAGAGGAAAACAACAAGCTTCTATGTCAATCTAATTTTAGCTCAGAACTTGCCTAAAATTGCATTTCCATGCAAACATCCACAATCGAGGAATACCACAAATTTCATTTTTTGACAAGTGAACACCACATTTTATTGCTCTTTTAGAAACTTTGATAAACTTCCTCCTCAATCTGTGTAATAAGGAGAGTTGGTATAAGTTTTTTTTTTTTGATAAATAGTTGGCATAAGTTTTTTCTCAACAGTATTAAATATTTTATCAGAGTATGACAGAAATAAATTTCAAGGTTGCTGAAGATATATGATAGCTATTTTGCATACTCTGATCCATTGTAATCTACAACTGAGGGACATTGGCATCAAGTTTTTTGGCCAAACTTTATAGGCACCTGATGAAATAGTCAATACCCATAGATTGCTGCCTTTTAACCATCCAACATATCAAAAGATCCCCAAAGAACAAACAAGGATAGTCATAAAAAATAGTATCCCCAATAACCTTCTTACACTAGATGGATATGACAGGTAACTCACTAACTACCCTGTTAACCATCCCCAATAGGTCTCCTATATAAGCCCTTTTTCACTTTTTAAACTACACCCTACCTAAATCACTAATTTTTCCTACCCTTGTTGCTATCGACTACATTCAAAAATTGAAATTCAATTTAAGAGTCCCTGATCATAAGCTTACTAGCTTCTGATACATGAATACTCATGTTCTGGTGTAGTTCTTGCACAGGAAGACGGAAAAATTCTCAGATTCAAGGGTACCATGACCTTATAGATATTCCTGGAAATGGAAATTTGAGGGGCATTTTATGATTTTACCAGTTTTTGTTTTAACATAGAACAAGTCATCAATGATTTCTAGTTTTATTTAAGCCAGTAATTAAAATATAATTATTATGCATGAAAACGTGCCCAAGTTAAGCTTCCAATGCAGTTCATGTTACTTTTGATGCATGAACTTATTGATGTTTTATGAAGTTGTCCTGTTTACTCAAAATTTTGTGTCTATTAAAGGTGTTTAAACTTTGAATGACTACAATCATCACAAAGCAGCCTATTACTTAATTCTCACCTATTGGCAGTATCTCTTTTTATTGGTAATTGTTCACTTTTATTAATTAGTGATAAAAAAATGAATATTATATTGTTATATACAAGGAGATTGTGTCAAGAACCCCATTATCCATAGGTAGTTTCTTCTACCTTACCTATCTATCCTCATCGGCTTATATGCAATTCAAGAGATCATTTTCCCCATTAATCGCCCTCAATACAATCTCCGTGTTCACTCCTTGTTTGACTAATGCATCCACAAACAGTTTGCTGCTTGTCCACAGAAAGTTAGCTCCCAATCAGTGAATTAAAAGGCATGCCTAGGTGCACAGGTGAGGCGCATTTTAGGGTATGTGCCTTGCCTAGGTGCACAGGCAAGGCGCATTTTAGGGTACATGCCTCACCTAGGTCCCAGGCACAACACTTTCAAAAGGTGTGCACCTAATGTGCCTAGGCTACGCCTAGTGTGCCTTGCACTTCAGCCCAGAAGTGCACCTTTTGAAAATTTGCACAGGAATGCATAATGTTTAAAATTTGCTCGAGTGTGCCTTGCACCCTTGCCCTTGCCTCAAGAGACTTGGTACAAAGGCGACTCAAGAATCAAGAACATGTAATGTTTAACATCACATTAGCTATTTGAAGTAATGCAATTGGGAAAGAATAAAGAGATTAGGAGTTTTACATGCTTGAATATGTTTTATATGTTATGCTTGATTTTATTTTTAAGTCTTCATTTTAAATATGTTTTACATGTTATGTTTATGTATTTTAATTTGAGATAATAGGCTTTTTAAAACATTTATTTTAAAATTTTAGTTTATGTTTTTAATTAATATTATGTTTAATTTTTTTTTTTTTTTTTTGCATTTTTTGCACCTTGCGCCTCATGCACAAAATGCCCCTTCACTTTTTTTTTGTGCCTTGCATTTTTAAAACACTGCTCTCAATTCACATGCCATTTATCTTCCCTTAAAATGTGCTTGCACTGCCATGTATATGGGTTATTATTTATCAACCTGACCATATGAATATAAGAAACCATTCCATAAGATGTCTCTATAGCTTAATGACTTCCCTAGTTTCAGCCCCTGATGTAGAGGAAGTAGCTTGGCCCTTTCTGATTCTCCTTGGCCTATAGGCCCCAACCATGCACCATTATTATTCCTGAATGCTCCACCAATGTCTGAGATAGGAATGGCAACGGGGCGGGGCACCCCTCCCCGTAGCCAAAATCCCCTACCCTGTCCCCAGTGGCAGGGTAGGTTCAGAATAGGGCACCAATCCCCCATTGGGAACAAGGAATCCCTGAATTTTCCCCACCCCGAGGAAACTACCTAAAAATACATCAAATTTTAGAGGTATTTTAGAAATAGGATTATGGGAATTTGGCGGTATTTTAAAAATGTGATTAAAATAGTTTTCAAGGCGCCAAGGCGAGGCTAGGTGACAGAGGGCACCTTGTCACCTAGGCACCTAGGTGGGCGCCTAGGCGATTTTTTTAAGTAAAAATCACATATCCTAGGGTAGTTCCCTAGGTTCCATAACCAACTTTCTTTAATAACTATCCATAGTTTTCATAAGAAAATTATAAACTTCATGTTTAAGTCTAGAAAATGAACATATTTATAAGAAGAAAAAGAAGAAAGGAAAGAAAATTCAAAAAATATAGGGGCTCAACCCCTATTTTTGTTATAGGAAAAGAAGAAAACAAAAGGTGTTGATTAGACAAAATTTTAAGTTCTTCCCTTACTCATTGGTTCAGATTTTGAAGTCATTGAAGGTTCAATACAGCAGTTAGCAATGTTTGTGTTGATTAAACCCTAACAAATAAGAAAATAATAAAAAGAAATTAGTTTATAAACACAAAAAATGAATGTTTCTTTAATAATGTTCATTTTATAATTATAAACTCAAAAAATAACAATATAAAAGTATTTTATTACACAGTATGCAAAACTGCTTAGCGACTGGGTGAGGCGAGCCTCCAAGGGCGCCTTGTCGCCTAGGCGTCGTGTCGCCTTGACAACTATGGTGATTGGGTTCGGGGAATCATATGCAAACCCCATCCCCATCCCTGATTCAGGGGGCAAAAATATTTTCCTTGTTCCCACCCTGTCCCCATTAAAGATCGAGGAAAACCCACCCCATTTGGGGCAGAGCAGGGAAAATTGCCAAAAATTGCCATCCCTAGTCTGAGGTCCCTGGATTGCCCACACTACTCCCATCAAAATTTAGCTTTATTTAACACACCATAGAGAAGTATAAAAAGCATATGATCTTCAAATGTAAAATAACTTCTGAATTATTGAATGAAAATAGGCCTAAAGGCTTTTGAGCTTCTTGAAAACCTTCTGGTTATTAATTTAGCACCTTGCAAGAGATTTATCTAGGTTTATATCTAAGAAACCTTGGTTTTGATGGTGATGAAAAGTACCTTTGTACTGTTATTCTTGCAATATCGATTTGATTGCTCACTCATCAAGTTCCAACTTTTACTTAGAATCCTTAATGTTATGGGGCCGCTAACATAACAAATAATTTCAGTTTCTTGCAATTGGTTAACAAAGATACTAAATGGGATATAACTTAATTTTAGAAAATTATATTTTTTATGTACTAAAATCTATTCCATAATTTCCTTTGTCGTATCATATAAATTGTTAAGTCAGAATGGAATTCTACTGCCTCCTAAAAAACCATAGGAATATAATTATCAGAAATTAATTGGAACCTAACCAGCAATATAAATCCACAAATGCTATTTAAGAAACACAAATTAGAACAACTGGTTAGCCCATTCCCCATTAATAAATTCCAGTTAATAATCTAGAACAAGTAATTTTCACAGTGGAACTAAATAGGTTTTTGCAAGTATTACTACAAAGATGATACTTATTTAGGCCTCACATTGGCAGAACCTCAATGAAAAGAAGGTATACCTTGACAATTTGATTAGTTCGCGTTTTAACATAAAGGCCAGCAGCACTATCAGGACAAGGTACTTCTACACCATCTCTCATAAACATCCCACAGGTAAGACCTACATACAGAATCTAAGTAGAATTAGAAACTCAAGAAAAAAAAATGTGATTTTCTATTTTTTAGTAATTTCTAGTTTCTTTACATTGAGCTAGATCTAGTAGGATTAGTGAAGTGGTATCAGAGTTGTTTTAGGGTTTAGAATCCTTAAGTTTTCCTATTGGTTTGTCTTAGTTTTAAAGCAATTGGAAGTTGTTTTGGGTCAATTTCATAGTCCAAATTATAGTCTGTAAAGGGGCATCCGAGTTCTCATGGTTAGTCTATAAATAGAGCCATTATAATTGCAATTTAGAGGAGTTTATTTGATGAAATACAGTTCGATTTAGTGAATTTTTTTGTTGCCAGGAAATTTACTCCCCCCCCCCCTCTCTTATCTGTTTTTCTAGGTTATCTACCTATTTGCTGTTTACCTTAACAGAAAGTAGGAATATAATCAGATTGGATTCAGCTACATCCAAATCCAATTCGATTATTGATATTCCAAATAAGAACGATCAGTTTCGGATTTAATCCAACCCCACTCTATTGTGATTAAAATAAAGAAAATAATCATACTTGGATTTTTATCCCCAATCTATGTATATGCATTATTAAATTACATATAATCATACTTGGATTTTTATCAAATCAGGTGGGGTCAAATTTGTATCTGATCCAATTACAAATAGATGCCAGTTTTAACATCAAAATCCAAGTAATCAGATTAAATGTTGGATCGGGTATCAGATTTCCAGAGTCCATTGACAACCTTAACAGCAAGAGTTCTTCTCTTCCTTTCTAATCTCTTGCTCATTCTTTGGTGGACTGCAAGTTGTATACTTGCTTCTCCATCCCTATTCTTCATCCTTAATCACCCAAATTCCCTCCACCCCACAAAGCCCACACCAGATCTGAAATTCATATGACATCTACTTTGTCCTACATCATCATAGCTTTATTTCAAGGGCTGAAGCTGATATACTCTTGAGGACTAATTCATATTAAGGTAGAGAGATTTTAGGTAGGTATTGGTTATCTTAGGACTTGACGATCACATCCTTTTGATAACTTTTAACAAACAAGGAAAAAAAGCATTGAAGCACATGTCATTTTATGTGTCATGGCTATCATATTACAGTTCATCAAGCATGGATATCTATTGTATTAAAAACTAAACAATCTTAGTACAAATATGCCAACTTGTACATGCTCATAAATAGATAATAAGTGATCCATTCATCAAGACAGTAGACTATTAGACCCCTTTACTAGCTTATATCAAGATTGGTTATACATGCCAAAATAAGTCCTTGCTCTATATAGTTATATAAGTTAAAAGTAGGTTCAATAAGTTCAGCAAGAAAATGTTCAACTCAACAAGCTCTTGTCTAGTGAAACATATTGAAGAAATTGAAAGAATATGTTGGAAAAGCAAAAAAAAAAAAATGTTAAAGAAGATTGGTCACCTGTAAGAGAGCCATGATCTGTATGCCAACCGCACCATGATGAAATTGATCCAGCGTCTTGTGCATAGTCACTGCAATACGTATCATTTTCTAATTGTCAGATGGTTACCATTTTGTGCCCTGAAACCAAAGATTCCACTCTGCACACTGGAAAGAGATGCCTCTTAAACAATAAAATTACAGTCTAAGGTTGGTTAAGGCAAGATTGGAATTAAAAAACCAAGAAAAAGAAAGTCTCCAAGGATAAACACATGTGAGCTGCTGCAAAAGAAAATTCTTGGCAGACTTTTTATCTCCCCTCATGCCTGCATACCCTGCTTTCAAGAAGGGGAGTCAACTAATCATCTGTTCATTCACTGCCAGGAAACCAGGTTTATTTGGAATCATTTCTTACAACTAGCTGAGTACAGCTGGGTGGCTCCAAATCACCTACAAGACCTAATTCATCAATGGCAAGGAAAAGGTCTGAGTAAGAGAGGAAAGGTGTATTGGCAGATAGTTTTGCATGCTGTAATTTGGGGAGTGTGGGAAGAAAGAAATAACTGGCTGTTCAAGAACCAGGTTAAGTCAGAGTGATCTGTTATCTCACACTAACCATCTCTGTTGTCTGTGGGCCTCTAGCACAGATAATTTCAAAGGATTCTCTGTAAATAATCTCAACAGGAATGCTGGTAATTTCCTGTTCTCCTCCCCTCCCTCCCCACCCACCTACAGGAGTCCAATTCCCAGAAGGCAAGGCCTTTGGACTAAGTTTTTATAGAAGTGCTTCAGGCAACCCTGATGCTGCTGGCATAGGAGGAGTTCTAAGGGATGAAAATGGGAGCATCTGCTGGGTGTACTGTGGCCAATAGGCATAGAAGACTCTACCTTATTGATAAAAAAAAATAGCTACCAAGGCAGAAGTGATGGCTGCACTTACAGGGATCAGAATAATTAACAGATTAGGCATTCCGAACCTCTCCATTGAAGGCGATCAGCAAACACCATAAAATGGTTAGGAAAACAAGAAACCGAAACGTGGAGACTCAATCATTTTCTGACGGGGGCAAGGGATTTACTGACTGCTTCTAATGCAAACCTGATTTGGATTCCAAGGGAATTTAATTCTCTTGCAGATGGGCTAGCAAAATTAGGTGCTCTGTTAGAATATTTGCACTCAAAGATTCCTCCTGTATAATTCCTAAGGGTCCCTGTGTTTGTTTTTCTTCTCTTTAATTGTACACCTTCTTGTGTACCTTTCTCTTTTATTATGAAATCAGTTACCTTTCTCTCAAAAAAAATCTCCAAAGATCTACGAAGGCATTAGTATGTCCTGATAGATATACCATATGTTCTAACTTGAAGTTTAATGAAATACCGCAAGTTAGGTTATTTATAATTAACAAGTTGCTATGGTGAAAGGCAGACTATTTGGTTACATGAATGTCAAACTAAGAGATTTCACAATGAAGAATATGGAAACCATATTCAGTTTAACCAGATTCTGTTGCCTAACATCTTAATCATTTAAGTGCAGCAAATCATCCTAAGCTTCTCAAATTTAGGATTGAGAAGACTGTTCCTAACCCCAATAAGTGATAAAACAAGGGGAATTAAGCTAAGATGGTTTAGGCATATGCATAGAAGACTATCTACTGCACTGGTAAGAGGTGAAGCATTGCAAGTTTAAAGATCTAGAAGATATAGGGGTAGGCCAAAAAGGACATGGGTGGAGCTAGTGAGAAATGATTTGAGGGCACAGAACCTAAAGAATGGATATGGCCCTTGATAGAGTAGAATTTTACGAAATACAATTTATCTAGCCAGCTGTTAGGTTTCTTCCTAACACAGGGCTCTTCGAGGGAGACTTCCTCCTGATAAGAGAGAGAGAGAGAGAGATTTCAGTATGAATGCATGCCTCCTTCTCATCTTTCTTCCATTATTTATAATGGTGATATACATACAATCAGTTACACGAGCTCCCCCGCTTGCACAATCTTGTTATATATTCTGTTATGGTGGTTGTGCTCAAGTGATGTCGTAGTGTTGTTTATAGGCCGATGTGGCCTTTTCTTGTACACTTGACTTATTAGTTCTGGTTGTCTTAACACCAACCTTATATGGTTGGGATAAGGCTTTGTTGAATTGAGTTCAAAAGATTGTTATCAATTGCATCTTTGGTCGGTACCTACTACCTAGCTAAAATACATTTCAAATTTGCAATACAAGAAAGCCAGTAGTTTGATAATGACAGTGAGCAAATATTTTATAAAGAGAAACTGCACAACTGATTGAAATATTGAGCCATGTTATCAAAGTAATTTTAGAAATAGAAGAAAGAGAAGTTGCATAACTGATTGAAACACTAAGCAAATCCAGATGATCACCAAGTTCGGCAGGCCTTCATCACATGGGTTAAATTGGGATTTTGGGTTCAGAAGGGGGTTGAGGGACAATGAGTGTGAATCCCTTATCCCTTTACTCTCTCTCTCTCTTGTGGAAAAAGGTTTTCTTGGATCAAAATCTCTTGGATAGTAGAGTTCGGTACCCCTCCCCTGATGGTCACTTCTCCTGTGCTTCTTTCTTTAACCTCCTTATTAGTTCAGAACCCTTGGGGGTAAATCTCCCAGTGAGAGAAATTTGGTGCAAGCCAATCCCTCCTAAGGTTCAGGCTCTATGTTGGGAAACTTTCCTTGGGAAGGCCGGTGGTGGGACCCTTCCTCATTTACTACTTTCCTGTTCATTTGTAACTCGTATTTGGGACTACTTCTGCTCTCTTTTTGGTTGCAGATGGGTACTCCCTCAGGATGTGGCTAGCTTATTTAACTCCAGTTTCTTAAAGCAACAGAAGAAAAGGGGAAGATCTCTATGGAAAATCACAAGAGCAGCCTTGGTGTGAACCATTTGGGAGGAGAGAAACCAAAGAATCTTCCAAGAAAAGAGTAGGTCGATGGAGGAAGTGATTGAATCCATAAGGATCGGATCTGCACACTGGGCTAAAACTTTGGAGCTGTTTAGAGATGTTCCCACAAATGACTTATTATGGAAATGGTCTGAAGTGGTACAAACAGATACACACAAAGAAGTAGTGATAATGGAATGGAAACCTCCAAGACCAAACAAATTGAAATTAAATTTTGATGGGAGCTCCCTTGGTAATCCGGGGAGAGCAGGTATAGGGAGAGTTTTCAGGAACCATCTAGGTGCAGTTGTGGCTCTATTCTCTGGGCCAATTGGATTTGGTGACTCGGTTAAGACCGAGACAATGGCTCTATTGCAAGGACTAAAACTGGCAACACAGATGGGTGTTAGAGAGCTTGAGGTGGAAGGAGATTCCTTATTGGTTAGTTCTTGGGCAAAACAAAATAGTTCAGCTCCTTGGAAATATAAATTTTCTTTCAGGGAAATTAACCGCCTTGCAAAAAGTTGTAACACTAGCTTTGGATGGGAAAAAAGAACAGCAAATGGAATGGCAGATGTTCTCGCAAAACAGGGAGTGGACAGGTCCACTCTATTTTGGGCAATGTTGTAATCTGTATTAGTAAAAGGGGGGCATGGTGTTAAAAGGTTGTTTATAAGTTGTTTTTCTTTGTTTTTTATTTCTGTTAGTGTTGCAGGGGTATTATTGTAATTCCCCTCTCTTTATGTTATGTTATGGTCGCCCTAATATAAATACCAAAAAATCTGGCGCCACCAGCAACAGTTCTTGCTCTCAGATCTCTCTTTTCTCCTCTCCCTTTCTCTCTCCTCTCTTCTCTTCACTTCAGCTTCTGGACAAGATGGTATCAGAGCAGGTTCATTTGATCTGAAAGGAGATCAAGAAAGCCCTCCTTTGTCTTCTCCCTCATCGTGCTGCTGATTTTTTTTCTCTGAAGAACCAAGGTAGATCTTTGGACTGATCTCAGAAGCTTATTTCTTCATTTTTGTTTTTATTTTTTCCTGATTGTTTATCAGGACAGACCAAAAAAAGAGGGATAAATCCCTGATGTGAGGTGATCAGCACCTATACCTTCCTTTTTTGTAGGATCAAGTGATCCTTGTGGTGGTTGTAGGTCAGAGGTGACCTGTATGTGCTGCGACAGCAGCTTTGTGGAGTGTTTGTAGGTTGGAGATGACCTGTGTGTGCTGTGACAGAAGTACAGTGGTTAGTTTGTATGTCAGTGATGACCTGTGGGTGCTGTAACAGCCGAAATTTTTTTACTGTGGTCAATCCAAAAGGTGGCTGTCTATAGTTTCCTGGGGCTGAATTTTTTTATTTTCAGAAATAATACAGTGTGCAAAAGGGAAAACAGGTTGGACAGGTCGGACTGTGTTTTTTTTAGTGAAGATTCAGCCACTTCTAGTGTGATCTAAACCAGCTATCATGAATAGTGAAGATTCAGCCACTTCTAGCGTTTCCTCAATGCAGAATGGACTGAGTGGGGGTATGGATTTATCCTTCCCTATGGCTGTCATACCTCTTGATGGTCTCAATTACTTAGAATGGTTGAAGGGGATCAAGTTATACATTACTTTAAGGGAAAAGATAGGATATATAAATGGAACAATTAAAGAACCCAATTCTGGGAGTGCTGAGCATGACAGATGAAACCAGGAAAATAGCATGGTAATGTCATGGCTCTTAGTGTCTATGCAACCTCAGGTGAGAAGAAATTTTATGTGGGCTGAAACAGCTTATGAGATTTGGGAACAAGCCAAGTCAAACTATTCTGAATTGCGACACTATGCAAAAATCTATCAGTTATAGGCAGAATCCTCTACTTGCAAAACAGGGGGAGAGGAGTCTCTCTGTGTATTTCTCTGACTTGTCTTCCATCTGGAAAGAGTTGTGTCGCTATCAGAGTGTAGATTGGAAGTGTGATGAAGATGCCAAAGCATATAAGTCTCTTGTTTCACAGTAGAGAGTCTTTACCTTCCTCCTTGGCTTGAACCCTATGTATGAATCCGTTAGAGTACAGATCCTTGGAATCAAGGATCTCCCATCTGTCCAAGAAGTATATGCTATAGTACAATCAGAGGAAAGTACAAGAAATCTTATGAATAATTCTGGGGGAGATGTAGTTGTATTGGCAGCAAAAGGAAGTGTTGTTAC